GAGGTAGAGTTTACCGCAACAGAGTGGCTCGTAACACTGCATGTCGAAAGCTCATCGCTTTATGACAGCCTTTGGAATGGATAGCCTGCCCACCCCAACATAGAAGCTAGTCGAGTGACCACCCCACGCCGCAGCAGATGAGGCGCGAATGAACAGAGAGGAACAATTTCCTTTACGCATACTTGCGCTTGTTAGTCCCTGCGTGTTGGAATACGAGAACCACTGTTCATTCCGTTCCTGATGGCCCAACTTGGCAAACGCGGGCTGGGGCTGACATCGTCCGATCGGTCACGGACTTTTTGGGGATGACCGAAATCATACCGGCTGTTAGACCCCACCACCGGTACTTTCCCCAACCCGCCTCGGTCCCGAGCCCGCCCGACCAATGCTCCCAAGCCCCCTACGTCAGCTTCAGCATCCTTTTTAAACTACTGTCGCCCTACAGCATTCCGTAGCTTAGCTAGCAGTGTTTTGTTTACATCAATTTGCATCAGTGCACCACCACGCATACGTCTTTACACATATTATCACCATTCAATTGAAAATGGCATCACTGACATTACGCCGCGTTCGACCGGCGACCATCGCGGCTACCGTCGCAGCGGGAGGCATTGGTCTGGCGGCCTACTCGAGGTTGTTTGTGAACAGCGCGTCTGCCGAGTCTGGGGCGCCGCCAAAGGTGTTTGGTGCGGGGCCCGCGTTTGTGTCACTTGCGTTGGAGAGCTCGGAGGATGTGAACCACAACACCAAGCGATTGCGGTTCAAGCTACCACAGAGGGAGGCGGTCAGTGGTCTTTCATTGACCTGTGAGTGTTCGCGATCACCCGACTTGTAGGGAAAAGAGTGTGCTGATGTTCGAGAACAGCTGCTGTCCTGACCATGGCATGGCCTGAGGGCAGGTGGCTTCCCGTCGCGAGGCCTTACACGCCCGTGCAGCCTCTGGGTAAGAACACCAAAGGCCTCCCCTTGTACTCGAGACATCAATGCTAATTAACCAAAAAGACGACACCGGCTATCTCGAGCTCATGGTGAAGAAGTACCCAGACGGCAAGCAGAGCACTCACATCCACTCCCTCACACCAGGTCAAAAGCTTCTCTTCGCCCTCGCCATAAAGGGCCACCAATGGAAGCCCAACAGCTATCAACACATTACCCTCATCGCCGGCGGTGCGGGTATCACGCCGATATACCAACTAGCACAGGGCATCCTCCGCAACCCGGAGGACAAGACGGCCATCACGCTCGTCTTTGGCGTCAACTCGGACCAAGACGTGCTGCTCAAAGAGGAATTTGAAAAGTTTGAAAAGGAATTCCCCGGCAGGTTCAAGGCTGTGTATACGGTTAGCAATCCCGTAGCGAATTCGCCGTATCGAAAGGGGTATGTGACGAAGCAGTTGCTGGAGGAGGTCGGCGCGGTGCCGAAGAAGGAGGATACAAAGGTGTTTGTGTGTGGTCCGCCGGCCATGGAGGCGGCTCTTGTGGGGAAGAGAAGTGCACCTGGGGTTTTGCAGGAGTTGGGGTATCGGAAAGATCAGATTCACCAGTTCTAGAGAGGAATTCGGGCTACCTACATGTACATTACAGAAGCCATGGGGAAAGATTAACCAGATCAATTCTTTCAAAAGTTCCGGTCGCAATGTTGGCGCGAAAAAGAAAGAAAAAAAAGACCTGCAACACAAAAAACAAGGCTTCAATGAAGGAGAGCTCGGAATTTTTGCGCCCTCGACGCTGCGAAATAAGCCACCGCTGCGGCGGGAGAAAAGAACCAAAGAGTGAGAAGCCTACTGAAGTCCACAGCTCAGCTATTATTCCAAGAATTCAAATGACCCGCCTTGCTAGCTCAATCGGTAGAGCGTGAGACTCTTAATCTCAAGGTTGCGGGTTCGACCCCCGCGTGAGGCTCAAATCCTCACCGCGATTGGCAAAGCCACTCTTCGGGCTATTCTTTTTGCCTTTTTCACCTTTCCGAAAGACCACACCTCCCCCCCCCTGTGCGGTGGCGGTATGAATCGGAGGCCAGGTACCACATCCATCTTCAATCGGAGGAAATTTGCTTTTTGGAGAAGAGACTTTAGCGTCAAGGTGTAAAGAAGCGGAGAAGTCGTTGGTTGGGGTGCCTGGGTTACATGAGCATTAACCACCCACAAGTGCCTAAGGTTAGGTGTGCGGGCCACAATACGCTCGTGGCTGATGAGTCCAACTGATTGAACTCGGTGCCCTTCAATATTGCCGCGCCATATATCTTGCACTTGATGTAACAAAGATTATGTATATATGGCACTGCAATTTACTAGGCATCATTCGGTATTAATATCTTCCTGCGTTGCCTCCTATTGAAGTACATGATTATTTTCAACTCACCTCCAACGGTGACCTCTCCGTAACCATGATTCGTTGACGTAATTCACCCGCCCCATAAAAAAGTTCTCCATCACTCACTCCCTGCAGCCAACTCCAAGCATATCAGATCACCCTTCCTCCCTGCCCCATCGACCAATTGTCATCATAACCACAGTCGTAAGCTTCACACGTAATCTGCTCACTCTATCTCGTGAAACTAAAGTACCATCGGAAGCACAGATGGAGAAATTCGGCCTCGCAGCAGCGCATTCGGGCGCGATAAACCACATCCACGCCATTCACTTCGGTCCCGCTGCCGTGGACGTCGTCAGGGAGATCCGACTGGCTGTTACTGTTGTCGTCATCGGCTGGGTTGCTGTTACTGGAATCAGGACGGTCTTCAATCGGGATAGGCGATGAGGAGGGGTATCTGGCTGAGGAAGAGCTAAGTTGGACAGAGGGAGACGGGGTTGCGAGGAGGAATGCAACCCGTCGCTAAAGGTCGGATGTCAGAGGGTGAGGCCAGTCGAATGTGTCTCTAAACAGCGTAAACAGTTGTTATTTGTACAACAGTGGGATATTTGACCATCTCAGTTCCTTTCTAGGTATCTGTATCTGTATAAACAACCAAACAAACAAACACACGTCATTGTCATTTTCCACCGTTCCAGAACCCCTCCTCACGTGAGGCCAGAATAACCCCCCCCCCCCCAGCCCTAATTCAGCACGACACCAATCTCAACTTCAACCGATGGCTTCCAAAGCAAGGACCCTATTCAGACCAAGCTACGCCGGCGGAAAGTGCAGAAACCTCATACAGCACCAAGCCCCCGTTCCCGTCGCGCATGCCTGCGCGCCAGCACCCGTGTCGTTGGCCTTTTTGGTCCATCCTTCAGGGCATGCGCCATCGCAGATTGCCTGACAGATTTCGGCGTCGGGATCTGCTGTCGCGGAGTCTATGTCTTCTGGTTAGAGGAGAAAGCATCCGTTATATTGAGCCCATCTGTTCAATTTCGTGTTGAGATCAGGAGAAGTTGGAGGGAATGGCCTACCGAGTGGGACAGCTAGTGCCATGGTCACGAGGCTCAAGAATACGAACGCAGTAGTTTTCATCTTTGATAAGGAGTTACTCTGTGGTGTTTGTATCGTGATTGAACCGGTTCATGGTGAGATTCCAATATTAAGAAGGCGACGGGACGATGGCTAGTAGACAGCTGCGTACTTGATGTTGAAATAGGGTACTAATCATTTTCAGGGGCAGATACGATGGTTGGTGAAACATGGGACCATCAAAGAAAAGACACCTGCGGATAGTAATGTAATTATAGAGTAAGAAAAAGATAAATAAAGCAATTAGTCCCTGAAACTCGCATGAATTAAACAACGGTCTCGGGTTGGACCGGGCGGGCGGGAGGCCTTTGTTCACGATCCAGCCTCATCCTTGTTTGCGCGGCGCGCTTACTAGTTGAGTTTGCGGCACAGGACGACGTTTGAAACTTCAAATACCGCGCGCTCACATTCAGTCCCGCGGAAATCAGAGAGTCTATTGGGGCAGCTATTAGTCTCCCCTGAACGCCAGTGGACTTCAACTTGTCATCGCAGATCGAGGTTTGAGGGTGTAGGAGAGATTGTTGAACTTGAAAGTGGTTATGATTACAAGCATCTAAACAGCTTGCATCCGTACTATGAAAGAACGCCTCGTCATCAACTCGTGAAAGTCTCTCGTCTCAGCTCCTAAATCATTGTAAACACATATCCCATGTTTCCCATCATCCAGTCATGATATATTCCCAGTCATCCCATAAGAGCCCATTATTTTTATGTACCCATATTCACCCACCATAAGAGCGTCTGGAACCAGCCCGAGCGACTCTTTTCAAAACGCCAAGATAAAAGCAGACGGGAAAATAATTCCAAAAAGGAAAGACACCACTCAGCAAGCACCATACCGCACACCTCTCTTACCCAACTCCTTCCTACCAATGGGGTCCTCGGGGAGAACCCAGCCTCTCGCCCTCTTGGCCTCGCGCTTCTCAGCCAACTGCGGCTTGGGCATCCAATCATCCCTAGGCAATGCCTTGCGTCTGGTACCCTCAGCAGGCGCACCAATCTCCGTCTTCCAGTGCGCGACGGCACCGCGGCCCTGCTGCTGAGGCGCGTCATCGCCGGCCATCATGCAGAGACCCCAGAGCGCGAGGCACGCAGTCAACGGGATCTCGCCGACCTCACAGTCAGCATCGTCAGCGACGGCGGCAAGCTGGACGGAAGTGACTTCGAGGTGACCAAAGTGGGGGACGGACTCGCTGCCGTTGCGGACGATGACGAGCTCAATCTCGGTGAGGATGAAGCCGTAGCGGCACGAGTGCTCGCGCATGGCGTGGTGCAGGGCAGCGAGGCCGCGGAGGTACTCGACGCGCTTGATGTTGCCCTCGACGCGCATGCCGGTGTTGAAGCGATCAAAGGAGCGGACGAGGCCGACGACGCGGGCGGTGGGCTTGCCGCCGAAGATTGTGGCCGCGGAGGCGGGCTCGCCGGCGGGAGAGGCGGTGAAGAGGAGTTCGGGCTGCTTTGCGGTGGCGGATGGGGCGGGAGCGGAGAGCTGCATGGGTCTGTGGGAAGAGATGGCGAGCGCAGCGTTGAGCTTGGGGAGGTAGTGGGAAGCGTAGATGCTGTGAAGAGCGGCTCCGGTCTCTGGGTGGCGAGCGGTCGGAGCAGGGTTGGGGAGAAGAGGGGCCGGGACGGGGCAGTTGAGGAGAGCGGCGGCACCGGGAAGAGAGAGGACGGAAGAAGCGTTGAAGGTGGTCCAGGGGCGAATTTGGCGGACGTCCCACCAGAAGTGCTTGGTATTGGGGTCCCGGAGAGGGAACGAGATGGTGCGCACCAGCGAAGGGGCGGGGTTAGATCCGGTGAGGTAGGTCATGAGAGTGGTGCTCGGGGTAGGGTCCGGGGTGGCAGCGGCAGAGAGGCTGAGAGGAGAAGGCGCCCGAGGAGTGTAGGAGGGGAACATGTATGCCTCTGATGGTTGCTGAGGAGCAGGAGTGGGGACGTATGAGGGCATCTGACGATAGGTCGGGAAGCCAAATTTCTCGAGCGTGACACCCTCAAGGCTGCAGGTCGACGCGCGGCGAGATTGCAGGTCATCGGCAAAGATAACGGGAGAGCAGAGGAGGGATGAGGGAGTCTGCTCCTCGGGCTGGCTGCAGTAGGAGGAGGGCATGTTCCATGTGAGAGTCTCCGGGTTGGTGAAGCTGCGTGTGTGAGCCGGGCGAAAGACGGCGGTGGTGGTGGGAGCCATGGGGGTTGCCCGTCTGGGAATCGGGGCGCGGGGCTTCGGTGAGGCCTTGGTGCGCTTGGGAGGCGACTCGATGGCTTGGTCCTGGGAGCGGATCTTGGGGAGCAAGAGAGGGCCGTGTTGGCGGATCGGGGGTGAGGCGCGAGACGGTGTTGTCATACGAGTGCTCACCGAGTCCGGTGTGGAGTCTGCGGCAGAGATGAAAGAGTAGACGGAGCCATTTGAGCGGGAGCGGTTGTGGCCCGGGTTGTGGTGGTAGGGGAGGTCGAGGAGAGAAGAGTCGAAGGAGAAACTCGGCGGCGTCGAGGGCTCGCACGAGGGGAAGATGAAGTCGAAGGACATATCCGCTGCCAGACTGGGGGATGATGTGTTAGTGGGGGTGTAAGTGAGGCGAGGAGCAGGGGGCATCTCATACGTGGACATTGTGTGACTGTGAGATGGTTGGATTATGGGATTATGAGGTGTTTCGTGACAGAGAGGAGGCCAGCTCCAGGAGTCCTTTCGGCGTTTGAGAATTTGCGTTGCGATGGGGAAAGTAGACGGGGTTGCTGTGAAGCAGGGACGAGGTGGCCGCGTTCAACGAGACCAGGGCGTTCCGAGAGATCTAAGTGTATAACTTTTGTGTTTTGGAATCCAGATAATGCGAGTTATAGTAAACAAACAAGAGCGATTTGATAACAACTTCAGATTGAGACGAGGATGAGAGGACGAGAGTGGAAAGGAGACGAGGAGACGACGAGATGAGGATGGAGAGAGAAGGGGCCAACAGAAAGGGACAGTAGGCGCGGGAGGGGAGGGCATCTTTATCCTCGGGTTTGAAGCTCGTAGCCCAATGGATGTGGTGGTGGTGATGCGGCGCGCGACTGACGGCCGACTGGAGCGAGGGCGTGTGGTCTTCGCCCCGGCCCCAGCCTTGGACTGACCGCAGGTCGTCGGGTCCAAGTCTGGGTCTCTAGACCCATGGAGTGACGGGGGGGAGAGCAGTAGTACAACGCAACGGTGGGTTGAACTGCGAGCATCCGGCTTGGGGGTTGTAGTCTGTAGATGCCAGGGTCCCTTGGACGGATCGTGGGCCGAGACCAGACGACTGATGAATGATGGATACGTATTCTCGATTACGTAGTGACGATAGAGTGTATCCCATGTTTAGGTGGAGGTAGAGAAAAACTGCTGTCTATCGTCTGACCCCGGCAAGATACAAAAGAAGACGGAAAACAGGGTAGCTTGGAGCTACTGCAGATGGAAGGGAAAAAAAGGGTGGACTCGTCGA